CAGTACGAATGATGGGAGGGTGGAGAGTGGGGGGAGAGGAATGTCTTCGGCGGTGACGGGGTTGAAGAGGGAGACCGCGGAGGTGACTTCGGAGATGAGGATGAGCCACCCGTAAGAGGAGCCGATGCAATACATGCTGGTGGTGTGAGGTAGGCGGCGCATGCTTCCATTAAAGGCGTTGGCGAGGCAGAAGGCGGAACTCTTTCTTGGTTCCGGGGTAGAGAGGTAGAGGAGGAAGGGGAGCTGAGCGGGGAGGTGACGGGGCCGGGGGGGGACGGCGGAACGCCAACACTTGCAGACGGCGCGGAAGCGGATGTAGTCGGAGGCGCTTCTCAAGAAATGGGAGGTGAGCTTGACGAGATGCTGGCGAAGCCCTGTCCACATAGCTATTCTTGGGACATGGTCGGCCATTGTGCGTCCCCTCTTTCTAGTCTCTCAACCTCTATATGTTAAAACCCTTGTAGATTCTAAACTTAGGGTTGGTCTCTTTAGGGGATCAGCTTCCTTGAAACTCTATAGGGGTTCCTCCCTCCAAGTTGATGCTCAAAGGCTGCAGAAAAAATTCATCTATTGCTTATGAAAAGAGGTGGAATACATGACTATTTATAGGGCTTCTAAACCCTAACTCCTAATAGGACTTTTACTTAAGACTCCTACTTCTAACAACTCCTAATAGGACTCCTAATCAAGACTCCTACTTCTAACCAACTCTTAATAGGACTCTTACTCAAGACTCCTATTCCTTTACAACTCTCTATTCTTCTCTAAAAAATAACCTCCTAACCCTAGCCGGCCTCTTCACCTCTTTAATAGGGGTCGGCTTAGGTAGGTTTTACATGAATGTCCCTCTCAATTAGGACTCTCCTAGCTAGAGTCCTAACAGACCCGCCCTCTTCAAATCAGCCTTGTCCTCGAGGCTGACGATTCATGAATTTTGGGAATTTGATCTTCAAGTCATCATAGTTCTCCCAAGTGGCATCTTCTGTTAGTAGGTTTGCCCACTGTATTAGCAATTCAGTAGTGGATCGTCGTCGTTGAGTCACGATCCGTCGATCAATAATGGCACTTAGCTTAGTCTGAAGTTCTCTTTGGGTAGTCATATTTGGTGGGTGACTTTGGGCTGTCTCCAAGCACCTATTTACAACTTCCGTCTGGCCGTCGGTTTGTGGGTGATATGCCATACTCCTTTTCAATTTAGTACCCTTATAGTGTAATTCTTTTGAGTCCTAATTGTAATGAGCCATGGGGCTTGGTGCTTCCTCCAATTTTTTTATAATCTTACTAGTCTCTGAATCTTCCTGCCATTCCATCTTAATATCCTTAAGAAAGTCGCTGGTCGGAAGTGAAATGGCTGAAACTTCAACTTGCTCGGGTAGCTGCGAAAGCGCATCAACAAGAACATTCTCTTTCTCCTTTTTGTAAGTTATTTTATAATCAAATCCAAGAAGTTTTGTTACCCATTTTTGCTGCTCAGGGGATGATATCTTTCGCTCCAAAAAGTACTTGAGGCTTTTATGGTCGATTTTAATTTGAAATCGTCGGCCAATCAAGTAGGGTCTCCGCCTCGTTGCTGCGCGCACAATGGCGAGCATCTCCTTATCATATGTTGACTTATTTTGATAGGAGGGAGATAATGCCTTGCTAGTGTATGTGAGTGGTCGACCATCTTGCATGAGAATGGCTCCAATTCCGACTCCAGATGCGTCGGCCTCAATAATGAAGGGTCGGTTGAAATCTGGTAGTGTTAGCACCGGCGTCGTCGTCATGGCTGCCTTAAGTTTGTCAAAGGCAGCGGAGGCTCTGTCCGACCATTGGAAGACATCTTTTTTCAGTAAGGAAGTAAGTGGTGCACTAATCTCTCCATAGTTTTTCACGAACTTGCAATAGTAGCCTGTTAAACCCAGAAAGCCATGTAGCAAATTTATGTTCCTCGAGGTCAGCCAGTTTTGCATTGCTCCAATTTTGAAGGGGTCTACTGCCACACCTTCCTCTGATATGATATGCCCAAGATATTTCACCTTCTTTTGAAGAAAGCAAAAATTCATAGTGGTTGTTGTGTATTCAAAAGGTGGTTTTCGGTATGTCTTCTTCGCGTACTCGTATTTGTTGATACTCGGATCGAAGGTCCAGCTTTGTAAAGATTTGTGCTCCCTTTCATCTAGCAATTCATCTACAATTGGAATAAGGTATTTGTCCTTGATGGTTATGCCATTGAAAGCTCGGTAATCAACACATATTCGCCTTGTTCCGTCCTTCTTGCGTACAAGTAGCACCGATGAAGAGTAGAGGTTGCAACTTGGCCGAATAACTCCTGTTTCGAGCATCTCTTTTACAATCCTTTCTATTTCATCCTTCTAGAGATGTGGATACTGATATGGCTAAACATTTGCTGAAGATTTGCCTGGAAGGATAGTTATACAATGATCATGCCGACGGGTAAAATGTAGGTTGCGCGGTTCGTCAAATATATTTGAAAATTCAGCAAGCAAAGGAAGTAGATTTGGATCTTCAAATTCTGTTGGCTCTCCCTTAGTTTGCTGCTCAAGTTGTACGAAAAAGCCGCTGCATGCTTTATGCAAAACCTTCTCCATTTGTTGTATGCAAATCGTTGTTATGTCGCCCCCACGTTTCCTGTGCAATGTCACATGTTTCTCCTTACTGTAAAATTTCATAATTAGTTTCATAAAATTCCAGGAAATATCACATAATGTCGTCAACCATTTAATTTTGAGCATGGCCTCATGATTGTTAAGAGGGAGAAGGAAAAAATTTGTAATTATCTCTTGGTCCTGCAGCAATAGTTTCTCCTGCGAGCGCCTATGATCACAATTCAAAATCCGTCTGTTGGTGACCTTAACATCAAACCTGCAGCGATTCTCGATAGGTAATGCTATCCGAACAACAAGCTTACTATTTAGGAAGTTAGTAGTACTGCCCGTTTCGATGAGAATAGTGATCGGTTGTTGTCTAAGAAGGCCTCCAACTTTCATCGTTTACGGGTTTGAGTAACCGGCTAGTGCGTGTACTGTAACTTCAGTCGGTTGTGGCTCTTCTTCCACATCTTCTTTATGTTCAAAGTTCTCTTCTGAATATTCAATGACCTCTTCTTCTATTGGTTCAAACATAAGAAGTCTCCCTTTCATCATTTGCGGGTTTGAGTAGTTAGCTATTGTGTGTACTGTAACGTCGGTCGGTTGTGGCTCTTCTTCCACATCTTCTTCGTTATGTTTAAGGCTCTCTTTTGAATGCTCAATGACTTCTTCTTCTACTGGTTCAATCAAAAGAAGTCTCCCTTTTCTACAGCAATGCTTGTAACTCCACGGCTCGTCGCAATGCCAACATAACCGCTTCGCAGATTACTCTCGAAGCTCTTCTCTTGTCAACTTCTTTGGTGCAGGGACTCGATCGACAGTAGGTGGGGCTGACAGCTTCAGTATTTCTGGTTGAGGAGCAACACTAGTCCTCCAAGCTTCATGATTCAATCGCTCCTCTTGATGTCGTGCGAAAGAGATGGCTGCCATTAAGCGTGTATGGTTGTCGCGCTTTAACTTCTCCTCGGATCTCCGGCTTCAAGCCCTTAATGAAGGTCCTCAATAGCTGTTTTTAAGACCAATCATGAGTTTGATTAGATAACTTTTCAAACCTGGTTTGGTACTCCTGAATGGTAGAGGTTTGTCGGATCTTTGTTAGTTGTCCGTCAATATTCTCGTAATCGGTTGGTTTGAAGCGGATTAGCAATCCTTCTTTGAATTGTCGCCGTGAAAGGACTCCATAAGTATGTTCAAACCAATCAAACACTGTATAGCATCCCCTTCAAGATGTATAGCTGCAATTTTCACCATAGATGCATTCGCGGTTTTATGGTACCGAAAATATCGCTCCGCGCGCGAGATCCAACCAATTGGGTCTTCTTCTTCCCATTTAGGGAAGTCCACTCTCATGCATGGATAGTTGGAGTTGGTCATAGAGCTTCCCCTCTCTTGGAAGTCATATCTTCGGGCTTGGTGTGATTGGGCAAAGCTCTCTCCTTAATGTGATTTCTTCGGGCTTAGTGGTCGGCCCAATCTGAGTTCGGTAAAGAGCATCTGAATCTTATCCTCCATTCGCGCCTCGATGGCTTCAAATTTAGCATTGATTACCTCCTCAGATGCCATAGTATATGCCGCCAAATCTGTGATGTTAAGATCTCTCTTTTGTTGTCGGGTTAAAGGCATGTATTGGTTGAGAGAGGTGATGGTCGAAAGGGTTGGTGGATTGGTGCATGTAGGCTACGGTTTAGGCTTATTTTGTGGCTATTTTGGGTGCAATTTGAGGGTGTGGTTTGGTGGAGTTTTAGGGCTGTGGATGAAAGTTTTGGATCTGTAGTAGATTGTAGCAAAGGTTTGATAGAAATCAGTGGAAGTTTAGCAAGTATGTGCTGTCTTGTAAGAGTAGAATTGTCGTCGAAGAAACAACGGTTTCTCGACGTAATTTCCACCAAAAACTTGAGAGAATTGAGGAGGAAATTGATAGCAAAATCACAGAATATATGACAGCAAGGATATCTAATTTAATCAAGAAAATTTCGGTTGTATAACAGCAAGGAAATTGGTGCAAGTTGCGATTGCAGAATTCTCGTCGAGAAATTTCAACGGGTTACGATGAAAATTTACAGCAACATAAAATCATTTTTAGAGATGAATTTCTTAATAGATTAATCATAGATGGAAGCCAAGATGATCTATGAAGTGTATAAGAAATTTCATTCAAAAAGGATTGCAAATAGATGGGTTAAGGCAAC